CCTCCAAGGATAATTCTCACCAAGTAAAAATAATTTCCTACAGAAAGTTGTCAAAATATACCCAAAAGTGTTATTTCCCTATATAAACTATAGTAAACTTTACCCCCTCCCCAAGGGAGAACGGATAGCTCGGGGGTCCTGAAATTTACAATTTAAGTAAAGCCCCTGATGATCTTTCTTTTCATGTAGAGAAAATGACAGTTGTACCTCTGAGTCTGGAGAAGAAGATTTTTGAAATATTGGTTAATTTTCCCTTTGGGGCCCCGCCCTGGCCGAAGGGGTTGGGGTAGGAATCTCAATTTTACAATTTGAAACCATCTTCCTCCAAGGATAATTCTCACCAAGTTTGAAAAAAATCCATCCACTGGTTCTTGAGAAGAAGTTGAAAATGTAAAAAGTTTACGCACGACGGACAACGGACGACGACAGACGGAAAGCGATTAGAATAGGTCACTTGAGCAAAGCTCAGGTGACCTAAAAAGTTATGTGTAAAATACATATATAAATAATACAACAGCTTTCTATTTCTGACTGCCATATTTTTCTTCTGATCAAGTGACATGAAGCTAAAAGAATATGCAAAACTAGCAGACAGGAAAAAACATTTGTGAAAGATCTGTAATGACTTAAACAGCGATAACAAACATATGCATGAACTGTCCAAAATCAAGATGGCTGCCTGGCAGCTCTTAGTACTTCTAGAAAAATATGGATAACAAACTGTAAGCAGTCAGACATCTTGTTTTTTTTATCAGTCTCAAATGAAACCGTTACAACTGCAGACCAAGGGGAACCTGCATATCAATTAGAGAGAGATCTGTTGCGTATTGATAATTTTATAATATTGTTGTGAGGTAGCATTTTAGTTGTTAGTTTTGTTTTTTTGTTTTTTTCTTCATACATACCACTTTTCAAGTTAACATCTTTATCACTTTAAAATGCCTCTTTGGTAATTTTATAACAAATACAAATTTTAGAATTAAAATTTGCCCTGCCCCATTTGGAACCCCTTCGGATATTCTGAATAAAATCACTCTTGCACTATCATTGGAATATAATACATGATTTTGATCTAAATAATATAACTTCAAGGCCTTTCACTGTTATACAGATCTTATGTCACACCATAATGTATAGCACCAGCGTAAACATAACCAAAAAATTGAAAATAGTTCTGAAAGCTCGCACACGCTAGAAAAATCAACAGCCGGGTTGGTCTGATCAGGCTACCACATAAATAACAAGCTAAACGAATACATACCGTTTGACTAGCGTTTGAATACCATATCACTAACGTATGCATACCGTTTGACTAGCATTTGAATACCATATCACTAACGTATACATACCGTTTGACTAGCGTTTGAATACCATATCACTAACGTATGCATACCATTTGACTAGCATTTGAATACCATATCACTAACGTATAAATACCGTTTGACTAGCGTTTGAATATCAAATCACTGACGTATACATACCGTTTGACTAGCGTTTGAATACCATATCACTAAAGTATACATAACTTATCAGAGCGTATCAGTGTATGAAGAGCGTGTGACTAGCATATGAGTAGTGTTTGTGCGGCATGCTTAGTGCATACACAATGATCATGTGACGTTCTCTACAAATACGGGTGGCGATGTCACCGCTGCTCATCATTCGGGCAGTAGACACCGACAAGTGAAGATGCCTCCCAAGAAGACCATGAGTGTTAATACGAAGACAATTTGAAAGATGTCTGGTCCTCATTACGGAGTTCAACCAGAAGCTGGTCGTACAGGCCAAACTGCTGTCGCCTCTCGATCCATGGTCTTACCCAGACCCCCTCTGTTGACCTCTCCTTCTCCTATTGGCACGGAACTGGAAAAGTGCCAATTCAACGAGGTTCTGCTGATGTTGGAGGACGATTATTTTTGTTTTCTTGTTACAGCCTCTCAAGATCCTCCATTTGCTCTGAGGGTGAGTTGGGCAGAGACAATGCGCTACTCATCAGAACCCTATATATACAGACAGCAACACGCTGGATATACGCCAATAATGTGAATCATGTACGCTAGAAACACGTTCAATATGTTACTCATAAGTAGGTTATACATCCAATACGTCCATATGGGTTGCAGATATGATAGATATAGATAAGAAGTAAGTTAGACGTACGGTAGCTTTATGGTAGACATTCAGCTGAGGAATCTCAAACGTATCTCAACTTATCAGTAACGTACCTATAACCTGTGTCAGCGTGTGTCTAACGTTTATCTAACGTATGTATAACGTATGAGCTTCATACATTCCATAAGTCAAAAATGTTTGTGCATGCACAAAACAATTGTTGGGGCTCAGAGCATCCCAGCGTGTGACACCAGCATATGCCAGCGTGTTTGGGAAAAGTGTCATCCGCTGACATACGCTGGTGTTATGGTGTAACTGCGCCATTAGGAGAATTATTTTATTTGAAAGGTACAATCAATCAAAATAACAATCTAGAATACGTACATAATGATGTCATACAATACACAATGAATGACATCACCAGCAACAAACAATTGGGAGTCTTCGGAAGTTTCCACTCATGTCTAATAAACCTTCTCAAAGCAGTAGATACCTTATACAGTAAGAGTGCACATTTTGTTGTAATAAATGAAATGTGTTACAATTCAATCCTATAAAACACTTATGTAGATGTACTTACTAATGCCTCCAGCTTCAACCTTTTCCCACAAAACGAACACTTGAATCTTGGTTCTGAATAGCCATCATCTACAAATTCAATTTCAAGTTTAAGGTGTACATTTATTATCATTCAAACAAAAGTATGGCAAGATTTTAACACCCAAGGCAAGTCATTTTCAACATTTTCACCCCAAACAAACATACAACAGACTCTTTGTTCAGATTTTATTGATGTTCACTGCTGATTTTTGTGCACAAGAGGAAGCAAACTAATCCATTTGCCAGCTCTGTCCTTATGTCTATAACGGACAAGTCATTTCATCCTCTGAGTAGCTGTTAGGTAAACCCAGCACATTTATTTGGCACATCAAACCTCTTCTTCTCAGTGAATTGGTCATGGAAAGGAAACATCAATCAAAGAATTTGTCCAGAGGTTCAGGCAGGATGACAGATTTGCAACAAGACACTCCTCAGCAGCATCCACCTCACCACTGCCACAAAACCTCTGGATCTGCCTAAATTGTGAAAATATTAATTTCACAGTACATTGAGAAAAAACAGAGATGTGTTAAAAAGCACTTCCATAGGTTAGTTGGGGCATGATTACTGTAAACAGTCTGAGACTTAAGGATCCCAGTCCCAGTGCACTGTTAGTATACACAGTAAGCCTCCCCTTAACTTCCACTTTGATATAACTGTAGTTTTTATTATACACAGTAAGCCTCCCCTTAACTTCCACTTTGATATAACTGTAGTTTTTATTATACACAGTAAGCCTCCCCTTAACTTCCACTTTGATATAACTGTAGTTTTTATTATACACAGTAAGCCTCCCCTTCACATCCACTTGGATATAACTGTAGCAGTTTGGCCTGGACACTACTGTTGACCAGGTAGCTCAGTAGCTCAATCCGTTATAGTGATAGTAGATCAATCTGAAGTCCAGGGTTCAAACTCGGCCCTACTTTCTTTTACACTCAGAACACTGTTGTTGATTATATTTTGTTTATTTCATCTTAATTATTTCTCATAAAAATCCAACGAGGTATGATTTTCTTTACAGCAATGATTTATCGAAGCTACATATATGTGGTAATACCGGAACAGTTTCCAACAATTAGTTACAGCTTTTGGCAGTGGTAGAAGGATCCATAAATCATGTAAGTCAGGGGCTGCCATCCCAGTCCAATCCTGGTCTCATGAGCAGGTGTATATTCCTTTTTTTTCTAATGGGCCAATCCTAGAAGCAAGAGTGCATGAACTTGCTCTTAATGGCTAGCAACTGTGGGGTTTTTCATGCCTAGCAATTGTTTCATATATAGGTTGAGAATATCAACTGTTTCCATGTTATTACCCAGGCAGTAATATAAGCACTGGGGCTGAGACAAGACCCCTCAGGCAACTAAACAGCATCAATTAATTAGACTTTCCATGATCATGACAAGCAATTATATATATACAAATGTATGTGGTAATCGGAAGAGGATTTTACTTGTTTCCATGCCTGTAAGCCACTTCGTCTTGGTCAGTCCAAAACTATGTTTATGCGTAATTACGGACCATGTGGAGCCTACATGTATTTTAGAAAGATCCCTCCTATACTTTTTGAGAAACAGACATAACAAGAACTGTTTAAAGATGGACGGATGGAATGATGGACGAATGACAGGCCACAGTTGAAGGTTGATTCACACGGACTACCATCTAATGAAGGTGGCTACAATGTTGACAATGGCGGACTACAGTATAAGGTTGATTCACACAGCCTACCATCTAATGAGATGGCTACAATGTTGAAAATGACGGACCACAGTTTAAGGTTGATTCACACAGACTACCATCTAATGCAGGTGGCTACAATGTTGACAATGGCGGACTACAGTTGAAGGTTGATTCACACAACCTACCATCTAATGAGATGGCTACAATGTTGACAGTGACGGACCAAGGTTAAAGGTTGATTCACACAGACTACCATCTAATGAAGGTGGCTACAATGTTGACAATGGCAGACTACAGTTGAAGGTTGATTCACACAGACTACCATCTAATGAGATGGCTACAATGTTGACAATGACGGACCACAGTTGAAGGTTGATTCACACAGACTACCATCTAATGAAGGCGGCTACAATGTTGACAATGGCAGACTACAGTTGAAGGTTGATTCACACAGACTACCATCTAGTGAGATGGCTACAATGTTGACAATGACGGACCACAGTTAAAGCTACCATCTAATGAGATGGCTACAATGTTGACAGTGACGGACCAAGGTTAAAGGTTGATTCACACAGACTCCCATCTAATGAAGGTGGCTACAATGTTGACAATTACGGACCATAGTTAAAGGTTGATTCACACAGACTACCATCTAATAAAGGTGGCTACAATGTTGACAATGATGGACCACACTTAAAGGTTGATTCACACAGATTACCATCTAATGAAGGTGTCTACAATGTTGACAATGACGGACCACAGTTAAAGGTTGATTCACACAGACTACCATCTAATGAAGGTGGCTACAATGTTGACAATGACGGACCACACTTAAAGGTTGATTCACACAGATTACCATCTAATGAAGGTGGCTACAATGTTGACAATGACGGACCACAGTTAAAGGTTGATTCACACGGACTACCATCTAATGAAGGTGGCTACAATGTTGACAATGGCGGACTACAGTTGAAGGTTGATTCACACAGCCTACCATCTAATGAGATGGCTACAATGTTGACAATGACGGACCAAAGTTAAAGGTTGATTCACACAGACTACAGTCTAATGAAGGTGGCTACAATGTTGACAATGACGGACCACAGTTAAAGGTTGATTCACACAGACTTCCATCTAATGAAGGTGGCTACAATGTTGACAATGACGGACAACAGTTAAAGGTTGATTCACACAGCCTACCATCTAATGAGATGGCTACAATGTTGACAATGACGGACCACAGTTGAAGGTTGATTCACACAGACTTCCATCTAATGAAGGTGGCTACAATGTTGAAAATGACGGACCACAGCTTAAGGTTGATTCACACAGACTACCATCTAATGAAGGTGGCTACAATGTTGAAAATGACGGACCACAGTTTAAGGTTGATTCACACAGACTACCATCTAATGAAGGTGGCTACAATGTTGAAAATGACGGACCACAGATTAAGGTTGATTCACACAGGCTACCATCTAATAAAGGGGGCTACAATGTTGACAATGACGGACCACAGTTGAAGGTTGATTCACACAGACTACCATCTAATAAAGGTGGCTAAAATGTTGAAAATGACGGACCACAGTTAAAGGTTGATTCACACAGACTACCATCTAATAAAGGTGGCTACAATGTTGACAATGGCGGACTACAGTTGAAGGTTGATTCACAAAGCTTACCATCTAATGAGATGGCTACAATGTTGACAATGACGGACCAAAGTTAAAGGTTGATTCACACAGACTACCATCTAATGAAGGTGGCTACAATGTTGACAATGACGGACCACAGTTAAAGGTTGATTCACACAGACTACTATCTAATGAAGGTGGCTACAATGTTGACAATGGCGGACTTCAGTTGAAGGTTGATTCACACATCCTACCATCTAATGAGATGGCTACAATGTTGACAATGACGGACCACAGTTAAAGGTTGATTCACACAGACTACCATCTAATGAAGGTGGCTACAATGTTGACAATGACGGACCACACTTAAAGGTTGATTCACACAGTCTACCATCTAATGAAGGTGGCTACAATGTTGACAATGACGGTCCACAGTTAAAGGTTGATTTCACACAGACTACCATCTAATGAAGGTGGCTACAATGTGTACAATGACGGATAATGTTCCTTGAGAGCTAAAATTACGTTGATATTATAAAGTAACTTATAAGTCGTAAGTAGATGGAAGACATAATTTACTTAAATTAGATATAAAATTTATTCATTTATGGTATGCCACCATAAAAATCTAACAGACTGATGGAATCTTTATATAAAACTACAAGATGCATATCAATTAAACTTGATCCCTAAAAATGCTAAACTAGCTCAATACTAAATGCATGCACACTTTGATTTGTATTATTATAGAATATCGAATCAAAAGGCACACATATTGACCACTGGAATCAATGTCTCCATATGTTAGTTATCACTTAACAGTTGACTAAGTCAATTGTATGGTTCACCAATTAGCGGCATCAGTATATCAAAGTGTCAGCTCAGTTATAGCTGTAGTACAAGTGGTCTAGAAACTAGGAATCAGGATAAAGTGAAAATGTTTTCATGGAAAAAATTCTACTTAATATTAAGATAACTACATCAGCAAGAATAAAACATGCACACATGCCATATCTAATGATTTAAGTGGAAAACTCGGGGAACAATTGTTGAAACACTTTCTTCACAGTAAGAGACTCATTTTGAACAATTTCAATCGGTCACGAGAAAACAATCTGCTTCATGTATGTATCTTTACACAACTTATTTTCTTTGTAACTTTTATAAACAAGAGGCCCAAGAGGGCCTGTATCGCTCACCTGAATATTTAAGCAGTCATAGCAAAAAATTCTCATTAAATATTATATTGCACTAAAATAATTTCCCTCGCAAACTTTGTTGGCTCCATCTGTTGAAACTAACAGCAAAATATTATTATAAGATTCTATGCTTTTTTATTCTTCTTCAGATGTTGCTTGACATATTTTTCCCTGTGACCTTGTAAGTAGGTCAATGTCATTTTCCTTCTCAAATTGGTTAGCTCTATTCCAAAAAGCTACCAGCCAAATCTTATAAATCCATTCCTTTTAGTTCTTAAGAACAAATCCGTTAAAATGTTGTTGACCTCTGTGACCTCTAAAGTAGGTTGAGGTCATTTTCATTCGCAAACTTTGGTGAGCTCTATCCCAGGAAGTCACCAGCCAAATATTACAATTTTATGCCTTTTAATTCTTCTTCAGAAGTAGTTTGAACTGTTTGACATATTCGAACGTTGTGACGTTGAAAGTATGTCAAGGTCATTTTCCTTCGCAAACTTTGTTTGGCTCTTTCCTAGGAAGCCACCTGCCAAATATAAAGATTCTATACCTTTCAGTTCTTCAGAAGAAGTCGTTTGAAGTGTCTGACACATTTGACCCCTGTGACCTTGAAAGAAAGTCAAGGTCATTTTCATCCTCAAACTTTGTTGGGGTCTATCCCAGGAAGCCATCAATCAAATATAAAGATTCTATACCTTTCAGGTCTTCAGAAGAAGTCATTTGAAGCTTTTGACATATATGACCCCTGAGACCTTGAAAGTAGGTCAAACTAATTTTCATTCTCAAACTTTGTTGGGCTCCATCCCAAGAAGCCACCAGCCAAATATAAAGATTCTATACCTTCCAGTTCATCAGAAGTTGTTGGAAGCATTTGACATATTTGAACCCTGTGACCTTGAAAGTAGTTCATTGTCATTTTCATTCTCAAACTTTGTTAGTCTCCATCCCAGGAAGCCATCAGCCACATATGAAGATTCTATACCTTTTAGTTCTTCAGAAGAAGTCATTTGAAGTTTTTGACATATTGTGACCTTGAAACGTAAGTCAAACTAATTTTCATTCTCAAACTTTGTTAAGCTCAAACCTAGGAAGCCATCAGCCAAATAAGAAGATTATATACCTTTAAGTTCTTCAGAAGAAGTCGTTTGAAGATTTTGACATATTTGACCCCTGTGACCTTGAAAGTTGGTCAAGGTCATTTTCGTTCTGAAACTTTGTAGGGCTCCTACCAACAAAGCTTTCAGCCAAATATCATGACTCTAGGCCTGTTCGTTCTCCAGAAGAAGTAGTTTAAAGGAAAATTTGACGGATGACGGATGGACGACGGACGCCGCACCATGACATAAGCTCACCTGCCCTTCAAAGAATTGATTTATTATTATTATTATACCTCAATAACCAGGAGAATTTGGAAATGATATGTGTTCTGGTAGAAACAATATCTCTCTATTTTTCTGTAAATTGAAACTTATTAACAAACTGGAGAAATGCATGGCCTTATCTCATTTGGAATAGACAGGAAAGATCCTATAGAAGAACAAACCAACCATCTTCAGAATCGGAACTGAATCGGAATCCTGGCTCATTGTCCTCATCAGATGATGGTTCAGTATTCTGTCGAGGAGAAAATATGTATTCGCCACTTAATCCACCATTGTAACCATGCTCTGGTGCAATGTTTTGCTTCTCCTTCTTGCTGTGTGATTTCTTTTGATGCTTGTTTGCTTTGCCTAAAGAGTTAATAGGAAACCAAAGATATTTAATTAGTTTATACTTATAGGGTCACTTTTATTATAAACTGTCACCTGTCATATTAGATCTTTTATAAATATAAACTGTCACCTGTCATATAACATCTTTTATAAATATAAACTGTTACCTGTCATATTACATCTTTTATAAATCTAAACTATTACGTGTCATTTAACATCTTTTATAAACTAAACTGTTACCCGTCCTAAAACATCTTTTATAAACTAAGCTGTTACCTGTCTTATAACATCTTTTATAAACTAAACTGTTACCCGTCCTAAAACATAATTTATAAACTAAACTGTTACCATACTTCTATACCAGGATACAATACCACGATACAACCAGGATACAATACCACTTCTATACCACGAAATAATACCACTTCTATACCGGGATATAATACACTTCTATACCAGAATACAATACAACTCTATACCAGGATACAATACCACTGCTATACCAGGATATAATACACTTCTATACCAGAATACAATACAACTCTATACCAGGATACAATACAACTCTATACCAGGATACAATACCACTTCTATGCCAGGATAAAATACCACTTCTATACCTGGATATAATACCACTTCTATACCAGGATACAATACCACAATACAATACCATTCTACACCAGGATACAATACCACTTATATACCTGGATATAATACCACTTCTATACCACGATATAATACCACTTCTATACCTGGATATAATACACTTCTATACCAGCATACAATACCACCTCTATACCAGGATACAATACCACTTCTATACCAGGATACCATACCACTTCTATACCAGAATACAATACACTTCTATACCAGGATACAATACCACTTCTATACCAGGATATAATACCACTTCTATACCAGGATACAATACCACGATACAATACCATTCTACACCAGGATACAATACCACTTATATACCTGGATATAATACCACTTCTATACCAGGATATAATACACTTCTATACCTGGATATAATATCACTTCTATACCTGGATATAATACACTTCTATACCAGCATACAATCCCACCTCTATACCAGGATACAATACCACTTCTATACCAGGATACAATACCACATCTATACCTGGATACAATACCACTTCTATACCAGAATACAATACAACTCCATACCAGGGTACAATACACTTCTAAACATGAATACAATACCACTTCTATACCAGGAAACAATACCACTTTTATACCTGGATACAATACCACTTCTATACCAGGATACAATACACTTTTACAACAAAATACAATACAACTTTATACCATGATACAATACAACTCTATACCTGGATACAATACCACTTCTATACCAGGATAAAATACCACTTTTATACCCGGATACAATACCACTTCTATACCTGGATAAAATACACTTCTATACAAGGAAACAATACCACTTCTATACCTGGATACAATACCACTTCTATACCAGGATACAATACCACTTCTATACCTGGATATAATACCACTTCTATACCACGATATAATACCACTTCTATACCTGGATATAATACCACTTCTATACCAGGAAACAATACCACTTCTATACCAGAATACAATACAACTCCATACCAGGGAACAATACACTTCTATACCAGGATACAATACCACTTCTAAACATGATATAGGATATAATACCACTTCTATACCAGCATACAATACCACCTCTATTCCAGGATACAATACTACTTCTATACCTGGATATAATACCACTTCTATACCACGATATAATACCACTTCTATACCTGGATATAATACCACTTCTATACCACGATATAATACCACTTCTATACCTGGATATAATACACTTCTATACCAGCATACAATACCACCTCTATACTAAGACACAATACACTTCTATACCAGGATACAAATACCACTTATATACCTGGATATAATACCACTTCTATACCAGCATACAATACCCCCTCTATACTAGGACACAATACACTTCTAACCCCATGATACAATACACTTCTATACCAGGAGACAATGCCACTTCTATACCAGAATACAATACAACTCCATACCAGGGAACAATACACTTCTATACCAGGATACAATACCACTTCTAAACATGGATACAATACCACTTCTATACCAGAAAACAATACCACTTATATACCAGAATACAATACACTTTATACCCGAATACAATACAACTCCATACCCGGATATAATACACTTATATACCAAGATACAATACCCCATGATACAATACACTTCTATACCAGGATAAAAATACCTGGATAAAATACACTTCTATACAAGGAAACAATGCCACTTCTATACCTGGATACAATACCACTTCTATACCAGAATACAATACACTTCTATACCAGGATACAATACCACTTCTTTACCAGGATACAATACTCTTCTATACCAGGATACAATACTCTTCTATACCAGGATAATACTAAGACACAATACACTTCTATACCAGGATACAAATACCACTTATATACCTGGATATAATACCACTTGTATACCAGGATACAATACCACTTCTATACCAGGATACAATCCCACTTCTATACCAGGATACAATACCACTTCTTTACCAGGATACAATACTCTTCTATACCAGGATAATACTAAGACACAATACACTTCTATACCAGGATACAATACCATGAGACAATACCATTCTACACCAGGATACAATACCACTTATATACCTGGATATAAAACCACTTCTATACCAGGATACAATACCACTTCTAAACATGATATAGGATATAATACCACTTCTATACCAGCATACAATACCACCTCTATACCAGGATACAATACTACTTCTATACCTGGATATAATACCACTTCTATACCAGAATACAGTACCACTTCTATACCTGGATACAATACCACTTCTAAACATGGATACAATACCACTTCTATACCAGAAAACAATACCACTTATATACCAGAATACAATACACTTTATACCCGAATACAATACAACTCCATACCCGGATATAATACACTTATATACCAAGATACAATACCCCATGATACAATACACTTCTATACCAGGATAAAATACCACTTCTATACCATTCTACACCAGGATACAATACCATTTATATACCTGGATATAATACCACTTCTATACCAGGAAACAATACCACCTCTATACTAGGACACAATACACTTCTATACCATGATACAATACCATTCTACACCAGGATACAATACCACTTATATACCTGGATATAAAACCACTTCTATACCAGGATACAATACCACTTCTAAACATGGATACAATAACAATTCTATACCAGGATACAATACCACCTCTATACCAGGATACAATACTCTTCTATACCAGGATACAATACCACTTCTATACCAGGATACAATACTCTTCTATACCAGGATACAATACACTTTTATACCAGGATACAAAAACAATTCTATACCAGGAAACAATACCACTTCTATACCAGGATACAATACCACTTCTATACCAGGATACAATACCACTTCTATCCCAGGATACAATACTCTTCTATACCAGGATACAATACTCTTCTATACCTGGATATAATACCACCTCTATACCAGGATACAATACACTTCTATACCTGGATACAATACCACTTCTATACCAGGATACAATACACTTCTATACCTGAATACAATACCACCTCTATACCAGGATACAATACTCTTCTATACCAGGATACAATACTCTTCTATACCAGGATACAATACCACTTTTATACCAGGATACAATAACAATTCTATACCAGGAACCTATACCACTTCTATACCAGGATACAATACTTTTCTATACCAGGATACAATACACTTTTATACCAGGATACAATACCACTTCTATACCAGGATACAATACCACTTTTATACCAGGAAACAATAACAATTCTATACCAGGAACCTATCCCACTTCTATACCAGGATACAATACCCCTCTATACTAGGACCCAATACCCTTCCATTCCAGGATACAATTCCATGATACAATACCATTCTATACCAGGATACAATTCCACTTCTATACCTGGATATAATACACTTCTATACCAGCATACAATACCACCTCTATACCAGGATACAATATCACTTCTATACCTGGATACAATACACTTCTATACCAGGATACAATACACTTCTATACCTGGATACAATACACTTCTATACAAGGATACAATACACTTCTATACCAGGATACAATACCACTTCTATACCAGGATACAATACCACTTCTATACCAGGACACAATACACTTCTATACCAGGATACAATACCACTTCTATACCAGGATACAATACCACTTCTTTACCAGGATACAATACTCTTCTATACCAGGATACAATACACTTTTATACCAGGATACAATACCACTTCTATACCAGGATACAATACCACTTCTATACCATGATACAATACACTTCTATACCAGGATACAATACCCCTCTATACTAGGACACAATACACTTCTATACCAGGATACAATACCATTCTATACCAGGATACAATACACTTCTATACAAGGATACAATACCACTTCTATACCTGGATATAATACCACTTCTATACCAGGATACAATACCATTCTACACCAGGATACAATACCACTTATATACCAGAATACAATACTCTTCTATACCAGGATACAATACTACTTCTATACCTGGATATAATACACATCTATACCAGCATACAATACCACTTCTATAGCTGGATATAATACCACTTCTACACCAGGATACAATACCATTCTACACCAGGATACAATACCATTCTATATCAGGATACAATACACTTTTATACCAGGATACAATACCACTTCTATACCATGATACAATTCACTTCTATACCAGGATACAATACACCTCTATACTAGGACACAATACACTTCTATACCAGGATTCAATACCACTTCTATACCTGGATATAATACACTTCTATACCAGCATACAATA